TGCATACAGCCATCGCTAGTATTTCCTTACTAGTCTTCTTATGTCTGTAGCAGCACTCGGTTTCATTATTGATATTGGCAATTTCTGTCTTTTTTTGTCTTTCTCTGTCAGGCTTGCTAGAGTTTTGTCAATATTATTGATCTTTTCAAAGACAATCTTTTCATCATTTTCTCTACTGCTTTTCTGCTTTCAGCTTGTTATTTCTGTTGTTTCAACAGAATAATAATAATTAATAATAGAATAACAACAAAATAAATGTTAGAATGCCAGGATAAGAATAACAGAATAATAATAAATAATCATTATTATTTATTGGTGATGCACTGATTAAAATGCTCAGCTGCTCATAGATGGTTGGTTTGACTACACCAGGTAATCCCTGGAAGGAAAGCAGGGCACTCTACTTCTGTATAGAATGTAGCCTGGGAAACCCCCAGGGGCACTGCTGCCCTCTCCTATAAGGTCACTGTGAGTTGGAATTGACTCACCAGTCATGAGCTGTGTTTAGCCTTGTTGGTTGGCTTTGCACTTGCTTTGGATTTATTTTATTTTAGGGGAGCCCAGGTGGTGTCGTGGGTAACGCATTGGGCTGCAGACTGCAAGGTCAGCAGTTCAAAAGCACCAGCATTTCCACGGAAGAAAGACGGGCATTATACTCTCATAAAGGTACCACCTCAGAAACCCCCAGAGGAGTGGTTCTAATTGGCTCAATGGCAGTGAGTTGGTTTTTAAATTATTATTATTATTATTATTTTCCCATGTTCCTGGAGTAGGATCTTAGATTAGTGATTTGAGAATTTTCCTTCTCTGTAATGTAAGCATTTAGGATACATTTCCATCTAAACACTGGGTTTTGCATCTGGACTCCACAAATTTTGGTATGTTGCATTATCATTTTTTTGGAAATTAATGTTTGTTGGTTTTCCGCTTGAAACCTCTTCTTTGACCCACCATTTATTTAAAGGTGTTTTGTCTGGTTTCCATTCAGGAACTTTTCTGCTATTGTTCTATTACTCATTGTGGTCAGAGCACATAGTTTATGTGACTTCAATTTTGAGGTTTGTTTTATGGCCCAGGATAAAGTTGATCGGTGGGGGGGGGGGGGGGGGGGGGGGCCGGTGAGATACAGGGGAAAAAGAGGAGCTGATACCAAAGACTCAAGTAGAAAGAAAATGTTTTGAAAATGAATATGGCAACATATGTACAAATGTGCTTCAGACAATTAAAAGATGGATGGTTATAAGAGTTGTAAGAGTCCCCAATAAAATGATTTATATTTTTAAAAAATGATAAAGTCTATCTGGGATATGCTCTATGGACATTTGACAAGAGTATGTGGTCTGTTCTGTGGTCTAGAATATTCTATAGATGGCAATTAAAACCTGTTGTTTGATGGTTTTGTGGAGAGCGGTATCCCTGGTGATTTTTCACTGCGTTGTTTCATCAATTGTCCAGAGAGGGGTGCTGAAGTCTATTCTAACAGACAGAATAAACCGTGGCAGGCTGGTTCTGTAAAGAATGTAGCCTGGGAAACCCCCAAAGGGCAGTTCGGCCCTCTCCTATGAGGTCACGATGAGTTGGAATTGACTCAGCAGTAGTGAGTTGTGTGTGTGTGTGTGTGTGTGTGTTTATTTGTTGGGTCCATTTCTCATTTGAGCTTGGCCTCACATATTTTGCAATTCTGATGTCCAGTGCGTGCACATTCAGGATTGCTGTCTTTTTATCATTGCATCATGTCTCTCAGTGTCTGGAAATTTTCTTGACTTGGAAGTCTACTCTATCTAATTTTAATATAGCCACACTAGTTTCTTTTGATTAGTGTTACATGATATATGATTTCCAAATTTATAGTCTTTTGCACTTATATTTGCATCACATTACAATCGTTATATCCTTTACATTTCAATCTGTTTACACTGTAATCCTTACAGAGAGAGTCTTATAGTCAGGGTGATGTTTTCAAGCACTATACCAATCTCTGCCATTTAATTGTGTGTCTCAATAACTTACATTTAATGTAATTCCTGCTATGTTGTTAACATGCAAGGACTCAAGTCTGCCCTTCATTTTTTCTGTCTGTTTCTCAGCTTGTGGTTTCAAATTTCCTGTCTTCTTAGATATTTTTTTGAACATTTTAAAGAGTTCATTTTGCTTTATCTATAATGTTTTGATAACATCTCTTTGTGTAAATTTGTGTGAGTCTGGATATTACATTGTATAAACATAATTTATCACAACCTATATTGGTGTGGACATTTTATCTGTTTGAGGCAAGTGTAGACTCCTTATCTAACTTTGTTCTTTTCCCTTTTCCTCCTTCTAATATAACTGTCTTAAATAGTCCATATCCTTACATCAAGAACTGTATCAGAGTTATAAATATTTGGTTTAACCACCACATGTCATTTAGAACTCAAAGAATGAGGACACTATATCCACGTATTTGCGCTTTCCATTGTTTTCCCTTCCATTTTGACGCTCCAAATTTCTTTGTTTTTATAATTTCTTATCTTTATAGAAGATTCCTTTAGCTATTCTTTTAGGATATGTTTGCTGCAACTAATTTTCTTGGGTTTTGTGTTCCTTCGTCTTAGAATGTCATCATTCCCTCGTTATTACTTGAATAATATTTTTGGTAATAGAATTCTAGGTTGTTTTTTTTTTCTTTTCATCTTGAAAACTGTGGGGTCACTTACTCTAGATGGTGTCTGATGAGAAGTTCACCAGTATTGGAATTGTTTTTCCTTTAAAGGTAAGATATTTTCCCTCACTTTCAAGGCTTGTTTCTATCTTGATTTTTCAGAAGTTCCATAACACGTTTTTGAGTGGATTTCTTGGGGGGTTATCCTGTTAGGAATTTGCTTGGCTTCCTGGCTGTAGTTTGAGACCTCTGCCCAAACTAGTGAAATGTCCAGTCATTATTTCTTCGAGTACCATTTCCACCTCACTCTCTCTTCTTTCTCTCTGGATCTCAAATGCCATCACACTCCGATGCCATTCAGTTTTTCTCTGCTGTGCAGACCGGGTACTTGCTCTCCCTTCTCTTCAAGTTTGCAGATTCTTTCTGTTGTCACCTTAATTGTGTCACTAAGTCCATCAGTTGAGCAGTTTCTTCTGCTACTTATATTTTTTAGTTATAAAATTCCCATTAATTTTTTCTGTGCATGTGTGATTTCCCCCCCCTTTCATTTCTTTCCTGCATCCTAATTGAAGTATCTTTATAACAAAACACACCAAACTCGTTGCCATCAAGTCGATTTCTGACTCCTAGCAACCCTGTAAGACAGGGTAGAACTGCCCCATGTGGGTTTCAGAGACCATGATTCTTTTCAGCAGTGGAAAGCCTCTTCCTCCCACAGAGCGCCTGGTGGTTTTGAACTGCTGATCCTGAGATTAGCAGCCCAACAAGTAACCACGATGCCACCTGGAATCCTCCTATATAATGGCCACTTCAAATTCTTTGTTATAAAATTCTAACAGCTCAGTCATCTCAGTCTATTGCTTATTGCCTTTCTTTCAAGTGACGATTTTTCTGATTAGTGTTTGATGAGTGGGAATACTGAGTTAGATTATTCTATGACCTTGGATGTTCTTTAACTGTGTTCCCTGACTTTTTCTGACACCAACGCAGAAGAGAAGGGCGAGCACCACGTTTTTACTGCCAGGTGGGTACAGAAGTCCAGGTTTCCCACTTAGCCTCTATTGACCTCTGAAAGATAGAGGGGCTCCCTGTTACTCTCGGCTCTCACTAGGCTTCTGCTGGTACCTTGGTTGGGAACACTAGGAGTGCCTGTAACTAATCCCCATGAGACTATTGCAGAAACCACCTAGAAGAGGTGGCTCTCCTCCAGGATTCCTTTAGCACACTACCCAGCAAAGAGGAGAGGAGACACATCATTACTGCTGGGGTGGTTCCCCCCATAGTCTTTGTTTTCACTATGGATTGGGCCTCCTTACTTCCTGAGGGAATGAAAATTCCTCCTTCCTGCATGCCTTTACCCGGCACCACCCAGTGAAGGGCTGGGATGCCTTTGTCCAGCCAGATGAGGCTGGGAGGCTAGGATCTTCTCAGCATTTGATGGTTTGATGGGGCTGGGACCACAGGTGGGTTTTGGTTTGGGGGAATTTGGCAGAAGTAGAACTTGTTTTCTTAAACATTTTTTGTCTTGCTAGGCTGCCCTTTCTAGATCCTCTCGCTAGAAAGACTATGCTTTTATTTGGTGTGTGTGTGTCCCAGTGTAGTGATCTAATCTCTTGTACACTATCTCCAACAATGGGTTAATAAAGCCACTGTTCCAGCAGGACATACCCAGACTACCTAACACAGAACACAGGGCAGTCTTAAGAAATGTTAGCATTTACCTCAGACTACGATACCTGCCCTGTGAGCAGGATGACATGGTGTTAGGCCCAACAAAAGCATAAAGGTGTGTTGCAATAAGATGAGTCCCTGCTTCTTCACCTTCTCCCCAGCAATGGGCTCTTTCCACACAAAAGGTCTGCACTTGGTCAGAAATATCAGAGACAGGACGCCTTCTCCCCAAGCCAGCGGTCAGACTCAGTAAGTCAGTTCTCTGCTCAGGGCCTAATTCCCGTGGTCTGCCATCTCCCTCTCCATACCCTGAGCAACCAGGGCTCTTCAGGGGTGACCCCAGAGAAGACAGGTGGGGTTTCTGTGGGAGGAGAAGGAAGAAGAATGGATAGCCCACTCTTGATTTTCCCTCCCACGTAGCTTGCAAATGGAAAGCATTGACGTAGCTTGTGGGGAGAGGGAAAGATGAGGTTAACAGAAGGCTGCAACAGGTACAGGGAGGTAGCCTTGCTGCTCCATCCGGTTCATGTATTTTTTAAGAGACCAGACAAGGGGGACACGATTAGATGGCAGAACAGTGTGGCTGGGCATTTTAACACTTAGCAGGAGGTGGGGGAGGGCACCCCTATTTTCAACACATTTTCATTCCACCCAGGGTTACAATTATGAATTGGTTTAGCAGACTCACAATCAGCGATTCCTTTTGTGTTGCACAGGTGACTAGAGTTGCCAGAGTGTTTTAGATATGAAATTGTCGCCGCATAATCATGTGGGTCTTCCAGTTCAGCACTGAAGCACAGAGAAATAAAAGGTTACGTCAAAAAACAAACAACAACAACAAAAACAAAACCCCACAATTATTTAAACACATTTGAAGACTTAAACATTTTCTTTTTCCATTAGGAAAATCATATAAGTATGTTTGGTTAATATACTGAATTAAGCAAATGTGGACAAAACACAACAATACCAAGGGCTGTACAAAGAACCCACAAGCCACTTAGAAACAGATACAGTGAAACTCCCACGTTCCAGACACAGGAAGAAAATGCACAGTCAGCCCTGGAAGAGAAAATCGAAGCTAAGGCACTCTAAAGGAATTTGGGACCAAATAAAGACAGATCTTAATGGCTGTGGGGCTGGAATTTAATGGCTGCCTGAGAGAAAAGCTCACTGTTATTCAGTTAATTCTGACTCAACGGGACCCTATAGGAGAGACCAGAACTGCCCTTTGTGGGTGTCTGAGACAAAACCTTATCTTTCTCCTGAGTTGCAGCTGCTAGATTCCAACTGCTGACCTTGTGGTTATAACCCACTGAGCCACCAGGGCTCCTAGACTGCCCGAGATGGCAAGTCTAAATAAAGGGGAAGCATAAAGTCCAGAGGACAACAGCCTGTCTCCCTCTGTGAAACATTCTATCAATTCCGGTCCACTCTTCCAGGGCGAAGGCGGCAAGCTTGCTATATGGTTCTGGCTGTAGGAGCTAAAAGAATGACCCCAGGAAACCAGAACCCAACAGCAAAGTACTGGTAGTATGAGGTGGAAGCCCACAGCATCCGTGTCTTTCCGAGACACAAAACCCGCACTGAGATTTGAAGTCCCAACCACCTGGTAAAGGCAACTCTGAAATCACTCTCTGAAAATGCTCCCACAAACCACAGTGCCCGTGGTTTCCAAGCACCACCCCCGCTCAGCATTAGCAGAGGGTCCCCAATGGCAACCCACACAACGAGATGTGCCAATGTGCCAGGGATGGAAGAATTAGATAACAGCACAACACAGGAGTGACTTGCAAATAGATCAAGAACCAAACATGTTTTAGGTGTCTGAGGAAGAAGTAAAGAAGAAAAGCCATGAGGCCCAAACAATATGGTCAAACACTGATCATGTCAAGTTCAAGACAAAAGAAAGAGGTGAAGGGAATTAAAAAGACAGTTGTTACAAAAGAAAAAAAATTCCCATAGAGGTTGAAAAGTAGACTAGCCATAGTGGGAAAGAAATTTGCATTAGTTACATCTGAGGAAATCCCCCAGGCCACAACAGAAAGGTCATGTTGTTGGTCCTGTGCCACCACCATGAGCCCAACTCCACACAGCAAACCGTGAGATGGAGTAGACCGGACTCGTGGGGTCTGGGCTGTACCCTTCGTAGGAGCAGCTCGCCAACTCTGCTTTACGCGCCCTTCAGTGGGTTGGTTCACCATGCCCGCTGTGTAGCAGCAGCTGTGCCATCAGGGCTCCTCAGAGAGATTCTGAGATATGAAAAATACTAAAAGAGACCCTAAGTGATGTGGAGGCCAGTATGAGAAGGTCAAATGCATGTACTGGGGATTCTACAAGAATAAAAAGGAAGAAAATTAGCAAAATGAGGCGCTATTCTGATGATGAAAAAACAAGACTTTCCTGAAAAAGGACATCAGTTCTTTCGAAGGAAGTTTAATAATGAAAAGGAAAACAATTCATACTCCACAGTGGGTAATGAGTTAGTATACATGAAAGGGAAAAGGAAAATATTCAAAAACCGTATGTGGGAAATGACACATACTTTTTATTTTTTAGTCATTTTGTTGGGGGCTCTTAACAGCTCTTATCACATCCATCCATCCATCCATCCATTGTGTCACGCACATTTGTACATATGTTGCAATCATCCTTCTCAAAAGACTTTCTTTTTACTTGAGCCCTTGGTATCAGCTCATTTGCCCCCTCCCTTACCCTCACTCCCTTATGAACCCTCCATAATCCATAAATTATAATTTCTTCCATTCTTATACTGACCGCTGTCCCCTTCACCCACTTTTCTGCCCTCCAACCCCCTGGGAGGGGGTTATATGTCAATCATTGTGATCATTTCCCCCTTTCTCCCACACCTTCCCCTTCCCCTCCTGGTATTGCTACTCTCATTATCGGTCCTGAGGGGTTTATCTGGACACATACTTTTCGAAGGAACAGCAACCAGCTTGGCAATAGACTTCACATGACCAACAAGATGTAAAGATTGTAAGTAATATTTTAAAACGCTGAGGAAAGACCAACAATGAGGAAGAAACAAAGACATTTTCAGAATGCAAATGACATATATTTGTTACTAACAGATTCTCACTGTAATCCATCACAGTTATGAATTTTAACACATTTTTTGACCTTCAAATCAGGTAGCATATAAGAAACAATGGTGAGCAAAGACGTGCACAGAGCACTGAGAAGTCTCAATAAATATTGACTCCTAAGTGTAAACTCCCCATTGCATTTTGCTGATTCGGACTTCTAGTGCCTCCATAGGACACAATAGGGCTGCTCCTTCCAGTTATGAGCCGGTACATTTTGAGAGGATTTGATAGCCTCATCTTTCTCCCATGGATGAAACTCAAATATTAAATAATATAATACAAACGGTACTGTAAAGGGGGCTGTGGGAGTTGCAGCAGTCTCAGGTCCTTGCATTAGTTAGGAGTAGACTAGCGGTTTACATATTAACATGTGACTTGGTTAATTGTGGGTGTAAAAACTAACCTGTAACATCAGAAACAGAGGAAATGGGATAAGGAATCTCACGTGGTGGGAATGGCAATGAATGAGGCGAAACAAAATGTTTCCGAATTGTTGAATGTGCAACTGATGGTCTTCTCTGGAAACCTTCACTCACTTCATAATAACACCTCAAAAGAATAAATTGTAATCACTTAAAACAATATAGAAATCTTAACTTCCAAGCTAATATAAAATGAATATGCAATGAGAAAGCTTAACTATTATGAAATAAGTCAGAAAAGAATGAAAATGGAAGTCGAGTACGGTAAGTGCAAAAAAAGTTTCCATGGTAAGTGCAAACTCCTAAAATGTAACAGAAAATGTCCACGTAGATCAAGAATCACAATTTTTAAGGCACATGGATTAACCTACTCCAACAAAATAGAAAGTATCTGGTTGCATATTTTTAAAAATCCAGCTACTTCCTGCTAATCAGCACCAGACACACCTAAGCTCTTAGAGAAAATGACGGCAAAGGAGATAGAAGCCAAATGCTAATCAAAAGAAAGCTAAGGGAGGTTTACTAATAGCACCCCCTTCTTAAAGATTTATCGAGACCACGAGGGAAGATATGCATGTGCTCACATGTATATGTTAACATTGCATACAGAAGACTGAAGGAGAACTCATGCATCTGAATGATGGTGCGGGTGACGAGCATGGGAAGTCCCACTGGCAGCCCGAAGAGCACACAGCTCTGTCTTGGAAGAAGCACAGCCAGAAGGCTTCCTCGAGGCAAGGATGGACAGAGTTCTTCGCATGCACTTTGGACATGTTGTCAGGAGAGACCAGTCCCGGGAGGAGGGCACCATGCTGGGTAGGGGAAGTGAGAAAAGAGGATGACCACCAAGTTGAACCGACTTGCAAGTACCCAACACCAACATGCATGTGTGCGCACGTGCGCATGAAGAACGAGAAAGCATCCACAAGTAGAGGAAATGTCACCATCAACTCTTTGCCACTACCTTCGAACATTTAGAGAGGACGAACGACTTTCTAGCAGAATGTGAAAGTACTTCAGTGAATCCATAGGAAACAGAAAAACTTAAAACCCAGTACATCGTTGCTAGTGTGCGGCTTCTGATTCACAGGGACCCTACAGCAGTGGTTCTCAGCCTTCCTAATGCCACGACCCTTTAATACAGTTCTTCATGTTGTGGTGACCCCCAACCATACAATGATTTTTGTTGCTACTTCATAACTGTAATTTTGCTACTGTTATGAATCGGACAACCCCTGTGAAAGGGTCATTTGACCCCCAAAGGGGTTGCGACCCACAGGTTGGGAACCGCTGCCCTACAGGATTAGATAGAACTGCCCTGTGGGAGGGTTTCTAAGACTATACTTTTTTTATGAGAGTAAAAAGCCTCATCTTTCTACCACCTAGCAGTTGCGACTAGCAGTCCAAAGGACGAGGTCCTTTCCCCACCTAGACCCACAACCTTTACATGGCTTGAGATCCCCTGTTCACTCACTCTTGACCTCTGCCATCAAGTTATCTATCCCACTTCTTGACCTCAAGCAAGTAGATTTACAGGGACATTTAAATAAACCGATTCAGGGAACAGAAAAAAGTGGGAAAACAATCCTCATTTTGGAAGCATGGTATCATATTGATATCCGAACCACAAAATAATCAAGTGGTAAAAGAAAAACATTGTTTGAGGAAATAGGGCCCTAAATGCTAGCAAAATGAAAGAACAATCGGAATTGATTCCAAGAGCGTAACGTGATCTGGAGCCCTAGGGGCACTTGCTCATGAGTTGGGCTGTTGACTGAGTTCACAACCACGTGAGCAAGAAAGAAGAGGCTTTTTACGCCCATGAACATTCACAGTCTGAAACCCACAGGGGCAGTTCTACTCTGTCCTTTAGGTCACTGTGCATCAGAATCGACTCGATGGCAGTGTCATTTTTGTTCTGTTTTTCGATCATCTAGCATTTGAAAATCTATCATTGCAATCCATCACATTAAAGGACTAAAAAAGAAAACAAAATAGATTATTTCAATAGGTCCAAAAGGGCATTCCATAGAGATAAAGTTCCTTAATTTGATTAACCTCTAACACAAATCATACTTCATGTTGAAATGCACTAAACAAGAAGTTAATATCTAAACTCTATCGGGAACTCCTGCTAGTCAATAAGAAAAGACAAATAAACACAGAGAAAATCAAGCAAAAGGTAACAGGAGCTATCAGAGAAGAGAGTAAAATTGAACACTGAATAAAATAAACTCTGATCTTCGTAGTAAACAGG